GAGAGGGCCTGAGCGTGCTAACGCCCTCAGGGCTCCTCCTCTTCCTAGAAAGCCACCAGTTCTACTCCCGCGATAGCCCACTGGTCCCTTCATCCGTTGCTCCAAACACCTCTTCAAGGCCCCACCTTCCAACACCGCCACGTTGGGGATTACGTTTCAAACACACGAAACGCGGGGGGCACATTAAAAACCACAGGACACAGGCTGGGTGCAAGAGTTTCCACTCAGCCTTGGTGGGGACGGGCCCCAGGGCCCCTCCGCCTTGGAAGCACCCTGACCTTTGCGTCCATAGAAGAAGTTGCTGACCAAAGCCAGGATGGACAGTGTGATGAGGTCTCCCAGGCTGGCTGCCACGGGGGTGGCGATGTTGTCTGGGTTGACCCCCAGCTTTCGAGCGCCAATGACGATACAGACCATCAGCGTTCCTGCGGGGAGAGGGGACGGAGAGAAGACTCAAGTCCCAGGGAGCCGACGGCCCCAGGAAGGCGCAGGGCGTCTGGCACTGGGACGGGGCTGGCAGGCTGTTCAGCAACTTGCCTGTTGTCCACACAAGCCTAGATATGGAGCTGGGGGACCCCAACTACACTGGAGACCTGAGATAAGGCTGGAAGAAATGGACCCCTTCGTGACTTGTGGGCAGGGGCCTCGGAGGCATGGAGGGGGGAGGAGGGCACGGCGCGGCCGCGCTCACCCAGGGCGAAGGCCGCGAGGAAGGCGGTCAGCATGCTGCTGGCGCACATCAGCTCCACCCTGGCCAAGTCCAGCTCCTCCCTGGACGCAGCCCCCAGCAGCAGCGCGGCCACAGCAGCCAGCAGCCCCACCACGGTGGCCTGCACCTGTCCGGGCAGAAATCGGAGGCATGACGGAGGGTCCCTGGGGCCGCCGTCCCTCCTCCCCGCCCTTCCACGTGCCCCCTGCCCACCTCGGGGGCCAGGGTGCGACTCGCCCCCGACCCCGGGAAAAACACAGACCGGCACCTCCCTTCCACCCAATTCCCTCGGAAACCACTGCTTTCCGCCTCCGCTCCCTCGCCGGATGCCCCTTCCGCTGCGGAGTCTAGTTCTTTGTCTTCTTCTCAGGCCTCGGTCAGGGGCACAGTCTCTTGCTCGCAACTCCACACGCTGGTCTGGGCAGAAGGGCTCAGTGACCCCCAGGAGCACAGACAGCTGACCTTGCTCCCCGCGGGGACGCCCCACAATCCGCAACAACAACCCCGGAGACCTCTGCACACCGCTGGTCTCTTCCCTGTCTTTCCCTGCTCTCACCCTCTCCCACCCCAGGCTGCCTTCCGGTCTCTGTCCCGCCAAGCATGCGCCTCTGCGGGGCCCGTCCAGAGCCCATGCCGGGAGGTGCCCCAATTTGGACACATGCCTGTAATCTTAGCACTCTGGGAGGCCGAGGCGGGCGGATTGTTTGAGCTCAGGAGTTCGACATCGGCCTGAGCAAGAGCGAGACCCTGTCTCTACTAAAAATAGAAAGAAATTAGCTGGACACCTAAAAACATACAGAAAAAATTAGCCGGGCATGGTGGCGCATGCCTGTAGTCCCAGCTACTCGGGAGGCTGAGGCAGGAGGATCGCTTGAGCCCAGGAGTTGGAGGTTGCTGTGAGCGAGGCTGACGCCACGGCACTCACTCCAGCCAGGGCAACAGGGTGAGACTCTATCTCAAAAAGAAAAACCGTGACAAGATACAAAGAAGTAAATTATATAATGATACAAGGGTCAAATCAGTAAGATAGAACAATTATAAACATGTTTTACCAAGCATCAACGCTCCTAAAATATACGAAGCAAACAGTGACAGAACTGAAGCAAGAAATAGCTCAGCTGGGTACAGTGGCTCATGCCTCTAATCCCAGAGACCTGGGCAGCTGAGGTGGGAGGACTGGCTGAGGCAAGGCGTTTAAGACCAGCCCAGATAACATAGCCAAGACCCCGAGTCTAAAAAACAAAACAAAACAAAAAATTTAAAAATTAGCCAGACGTGGTGGCGCATGCCTACAGTCCCAGCTACTGGGGTGTGGGGGGAGGCTGAGGCAGGAGGATCGCTTGAGCCCAGGAGTTCAAGGCTGCAGTGAGCTGTGATCGTGGCACTGAGCTCCAGCCTGGGCAACGGAGCGAAATCCCACCTCTGAAAACACAAAAAGGAAAGAAAGAAATACATGGCACTATGGCAACAGTTGGAGACTCCAACACCCACCCCACTGTGAATAATGAATGCAACAACCAGACAGAAGATCCATAAGGAAAGAGAATTTGAAAAACACCACAGACCAGCTGGCCCTAACAGACATGCACAGAACACTGCACCAAACAACAGAATGATACACGCTTTTCTCAATGAACGTGAATATGGAACATTCTCCAGGATAGACTGTGTTAGGCCATAAAACCAGTATTAATGAATTTAAGAAAACTGAACTCACACGAAGTATCAAAGTATCTTTCCCAATCATAAGGGAATGAAACTAGAAGTCCACAGCAGAAGGACAACTGGAAAATCTCCAAATATATGGAAATTAAACAACATATCCTTGAACAACCGATGGGTCAAAGAAGAAATCCCAAAGGAAATTATCTTGAGACAAACGAAACCACAACACGTCAAAATGTATGGGATGCAGTAAAATCCATGTTAAAGGGGAAATTTATCATTGTAAACAATTACATAAAAAAAGAAAAGAGATCTCAAATCAACCACCTAAAGTTACGCCTTAAGAAGCTCGGAAAAAAATCAAAATAAACCCAAAGCTAGCAGAAAGAAGGAAATAAAGATGAGACATAGACAAAACAGACAAGAGAAAAATAATGGAGAAAACTCAATGAAATCAAGAATTGGTTCCAAAATAAAAAAGAAAGATCAACAAAATTCAGAAATCTTCAGCTATATTGACTAAGAAAAAAAGAGAGACATCTTAAAAAACGAATCAGATTCTACAGAATCTACTAATTCTGAGTCTACAGGAAAAAAAGGAATATGAGAGTCCTGTGAACAATTATTTGCCGACGACGTAGACAACCTAATTCAAACGGATAAATTCCTAGAAACATAGATGCAGGGAGAAGGCCACGCTCCCGGCAAAAAATCGGGTCCCTTAGGTAGGGGTCGTTGCAAAGGATAAGAAAATAACAGAAAATGGAAAATAATGGAAATAAAAGAATACACAGAGACGCAGGCATACTTTTACAGATTTGTAAAGATTATAGGCAAAGCCGGTACTCAGGGGGCCTCTGTCAATCACAAAAGGCCAAGAGTGAAGTTTTACATAGGCATTTACAGGTAACAGTGATCTGCTGCCAGGAGTCACAGATTTACATGACAACAGGTAGTTCTTCGGGTAAAAGTTTTTCAAAAGGCTTCTACAGATCCCTTAACTAACTCTATCTGCAGGTACGAATGGTTGCAAAATCTTTCAAAGACTAACTTCTAAGTTCTAATGTACATTTATCACTTAACAGAAGGGTTAAACAGAGAGGCAGCGGCTCCTTACTTTCTTTATCAGGTTATTGTGGATGGAGACAGGTAGTCAGAAGTTTAAGCACGAACCGTCCCGTAAGCCAGTTGCTTTCAGCCACAGGTGGCTCTTAGCTTTGCTTTTCAAAGCAAGTCAGAACTACAGGTGCAGAGGTTCGCGGTGCCCTTGTGGGGTGCAGCCGCTATTGATCTTTCAGAGGTGCCCTCCTCGGGAGACACAGCTTTGGATATGCAAACCAAGACGTTCACATTCCTTGGGCAAAACTCTGCAAAACTCCTGAGACGTTTCTGTCTCCGATAGTCATGTTAATTTATGGAGCAACACAAATAATTGGCCAGGACTGAATCACAGAGAAATAGAAAATCTGAACACACGGAAAACTAGAAACAAAATTAATCCTCAGAGACAATTCCGCTGTGAATAAAACGAAAGAAAACCAAATCGGTAAGTAAAAACCTCCCAACAAAGAAAAGCTGGGGCCAGAGATGAATTCTATTAAACATTTAAAGAATTAACACTAATCCTCCACAAACTCTCGCAGAAAATTGAAGATGAAGGAACACTTCCAAATTCATAACTTGAGGCCGGTGTTACCCTGATACCAAGGCCAAAGACACTAGAAGAAAATAAAACTGCATGTCAATATCCCTGGTGAAAATCGACTCAAAAATCTTTTTTAAAATACTATAAACTGGCCGGGCGCGGTGGCTCACGCCTGTCATCCTAGCTCTCTGGGAGGCCGAGGCGGGCAGATTGTTTGAGCTCAGGAGTTCGAAACCAGCCTGAGCAAGAGCGAGACCCCCGTCTCTACTAAAAACAGAAAGAAATTAATCGGACAACTAAAAATATATAGAAAAAATTAGCCAGTCATGGTGGTGCATGCCTGTAATCCCGGCTACCCGGGAGGCTGAGGCAGGAGGATCGCTTGAGCCCAGGAGTTGGAGGTTGCTGTGAGCAAGGCTGACGCCACGGCACTCTAGCCCGGGCGACACAGTGAGACTCTGTCTCGAAAAAAAAAAAATACTATAAACTGAATGTAACAGCGTATTAAAAGGATTATACACCATGAGCAAGTGTGTTTGGTCCTGAAACACAAGGATGGTTCCACACACAAAACCAATTAATGTAATATACATGTTAACAAAATGAATGGAAAAAAACGCATCGTCTCAATTGATGCAGAAACGGCATCTAACAAAATTCGACAGCTTTTTGGATAAAAACACCCAAAAACCTAGGAATAAAAGGAAACTACCTCAATATAATAAAGGCTGTATGTCATAGTCCCTGGCTGGCCCAATAACGGGTAACCTTAAGCCCACAGCAAACATCGTACTTCAGGGCAACAAACCGAAACACACAAAACCCAACAGCGCCGGTCTCTCCAGAGACGCCCACCCGGCGCGCCCCGCGGGCCGGGACTCCACTTACGGCCGTGGAGAGCCTCGATGCCAGCGTCATCTCCAGGTTCCCCTTCAGGCCCACCAGGGGTGGCACCAACGTCAGGAGGTCTTTTACTCCCAGAAACACGGGCCAGTGCTGGCAGGGAGACAAACGCAAACACACGTGTCAGCACATCTCTGGAAATTTCTTGAGAGGATCTCCAGCGAGCTACTTTCCACTGTCTGTAAAATGAACAAAACTAAGTGGTTTCTTAAATGGCTTTTAAACTAAACACAAAAGAAGGACGAAACTGTGAAATGTTTCGAATACCATCCTCTTTTTAAATGTAAAAGAGTAAATAAATAATTAGACAAAGGGACTCGTGCTTCAGGCAAAGCAGAAAACATTTATCTGTGGAGATGCAAATGATTCTCACCTGCTTAACATGCAGTCAGACTGTTTCCCAAAATCAATTTTTAATATCCCATCGAATCGTACTGATTTATTTTGCCTGCCTGACCGTGATAGAAGCCTGTGACCTCTACACTAGCAGCTCCTCCTTGGTGTTGGAATTCTAGATCTAAAAGCGAATCCCTGCTTTGTCAGCGAGCAGACAGAAGGCCTGGGGTCTCGTCTCCACTCCCTCCCACAAGCCGAGAGCTGCGCCAAGGCGCGCAAATCGCAAATCTGCTCGGGGGCCCTGGCCCCAGGCAAGGCTCCCAGGCACGGAGGTCAAGGGACTGGGGCCGGGGCCCCTTCAGCCTCCTTCCCGCTCTCACGTCAGGGAAGACAACCCACTGTTGGCAGCTCCCTGCCTGCTTGGTTTCTCCCTTGACCTTCTACACCAAGCTGTGAAATACAGAGTCCTGTCCCAGCTCCGACGGGAGTTCTGAGTCTGCCCCGTCCTGAAACTACAAAAGAAAACATCCCGGGCAAGGAGCATAGCTCTCCAGCACTCCCCGGGGTTGCGTCTGGCCTGTGCTCGCAGGAACGCGAGACCTCCACGCTGGCACCCCCACGGCCAGCCCGCAGTCACCACGCCCACGCCCGCCTCCACACTCACTCCCACGGCGGCCCTTGGTTGCCGCGCCCCACGCCAGCACCCACCTCCTCCAGGGCCACGCATTTGCAGGTACTCTCTGCCCACATACGAGTCCCAGCAGGCACCAACCCCTAAGTAGTAACAGACTCCTCTCAGCCTGTCCTTCCCGGAAGCCCGCCTTCCCCTCTCTTCCCAAAGCCACCCCCTTCTGAATGAGTTCTCCACGCACTCAGCACTGCCCTGGCGGGGCTGCCGCCCTCCAGCCGCCTAACTCTCCCGGGAGGAGGGAGTGGGTCCCAATGGGCAGACGCCAGCTGCTGTCTCTGCCAGGTGACGCTGTCTTCCCCGCCGGTATACAGGAAGCACCTGCTGAGACAGGCATAGCCCTGGACGCCCCCTCTGGCCTCTGCGATGCTGCCCCCTGGTCCTGATGGTACCCAGTGTGGCCTCCACTGTGGGCCTCTTTCCTTCGTGCCTCCGCTCCAGGACTCCTGTTTCCGCACCTCTCCCTTCCACGGCGGACTCACCTTCCACGGCACCCCTGCCTTCCCCATGTACCCAACTAGAGGCCTCAAAGGGGTGCTGGGGCCGTGACTCCCGGGGTCCCATCCTCCTTAGCAGTGGGGCTGTGCTACAATTCTGGCCAGTGACATCTGTCGCTGGTACGTGGTGGTCAAAGGAACTCCTCTCGGCCCCCCACGTGGGGGCCACGGCACTGCCACTGAGGCACCAACCTCTCATCAGGCCTTGGGGACACTAGGGTGCCGCCTCATCTCCGAGCCTCCCAGCGTCCCGGCCACAGCCCACCAGCTCTCTCCCCAGAATTCCCAGCGTACTCGTTCCGAGCCCCCGCAGGCAGGTCCCACCCCTGCCTAACAGAAGCACGAGCGGCAGGTGCAGAGCCCTCCCTTCCTGCAGAGCACCCCTGCCGAGAGCAGCGCCTGCCACTCACTGCCACCGCCTGCAGAGCGCTAGGGTGACTGGTGACTTCACTCCCCGCGTCAGGACTCTGGTCCAAATGCCAGGGTGCATCTGTAACCTGAACAGGTGTGTTTGGAGCGTTCCAGGTTATAGATAATCACAAAAATGAAAATGTAATTATGATCCGCGGCAACGGGGGGCCCAAAGGAACAAAGGGCACAGAGCGCGCGACGCACACAGCGCTGGACCGCCGCGCCTGAACGAAGGAGCGAGGGATCGGGAGCTTCCTTAGTGCCGCGGTCCGAGTTTGTCCGGCCACCACCAGGGGGCGCCCACGCCTGAGGCACACAGAGGAGCCGTCCCCAAATGAGTGGCCGCTTTCTTCTGGGGTCAGTGCTGCTTGCGATGTCAGCCCGGTTTTGGATGTGGTCACACACCACGACCTAACGTGTCATCGTCCTCATCGGCACAGAAGATGCGGAAATAAACCGCCATGTGCATAATCTCACGTCGAAAAACGCCGTCTGATTAGTTACAAATCTTTTTAAGTCATTTACAAAAACATTGCTCAAGTTTCTTTAAAAAATGGAATGAGGCCGGGCGCGGTGGCTCACGCCTGTGATTGGGAGGATTGTTTGAGCTCAGGAGTTCGAGACCAGCCTGAGCAAGAGCGAGACCCCGTCTCTACTAAAATTAGAAAGAAATTAATCGGACAACTAAAAATATACATAAAAAAAAAAATTAGCCGGGCATGGTGGCGCATGGCTGTAGTCCCAGCTACTTGGGAGGCTGAGGCAGGAGGATCACTTGAGCCCAGGAGTTGGAGGTTGCTGTGAGCTAGGATGACGCCACGGCACTCTAGCCCGGGCAACACAGTGAGACTCTGTCTCAAAAAAAAAAAAAGAAAGATTAATCTGACTACAAAAAAAAAAAAATGAACGCACAGCAAAAAGCCACCAAAAGCAAAGTCAAAAGACAAAAGTAAAAATTGGGAACTATGTTTATAATCCGTATCACAATTAAAGGACCAAGTTCCCTGATATATAAAGAGTCCATAGGTATCAAAATAAGAAAAGGGATAGCCACTCCATAGAAACACGGGCAAAGAATATAAACAGAAATAGCGAATGATACTCAACCTCTGTCACTCATAATAAGAAACGCAAGTCACACTGTGACCACAGAACGTGGCAGGCAGCAGCCTTTGAGGACGGCTACCACTGCCCCCTGCTCCCCCGCACGGACACGCGTGCGCAGCTGCTTTTCCTGGCGTGTGGGCTGAACCCAGTGGCCTGCTTGTCACGGAAGCAAAGCTGACGGGACGCCACCTCGAAGAAGAGGTTACGAGACGCAGTGCTGTCTGTCTTGCTGGCGGACTGCTTTTGGACAGACCGCACACTCCAACGACGCAGACCGCTGTGCCGGAGACGCCCACGTGGGGAGGGACTGGCGGCCACCTCTGGGAAACAGCCGTGCAGAACCGAGACCCGCAATCCAACAACCGCCAGGAGCGGGACCACGTGAGCGAGCTCGGAGGACGGCTGTGACCTCGGGAGAGACCCTGAGGCTGGACGTCCGGTTAAGCTGGGCCTAACCCTGACCCAGAGAGGGCGACCACGAGATAACAAGCGCGTGCCATGACGTCAGGCTGCTAGTTTGGGGATAACTAGTTTTGGGATAACTCGTCAGGCAGCAGGAGAAATTAATACAATCAAGTACAGTTTTCCATCTAGCAGACTATTAAAGATCAAAAACGTTGACGATAAACGGCGTGGACGAATCCCGGGAACAAGCATTCCCTGTGGTGCCGGGGGAAGTGTGACCGCCCCACGACCAAAGTCACAGACGCACGTGCTCTTTGACCAAGCGATTCTGTCTGCGACAATCTGTCCTACGGACACAGGCAC